AGATTTCCTATGGAAACCTTTATTCAGCTATGCAGAATTGAAGATTTGCTATGGAAACCTTAATTCAGCCAGGCTGAATTGAAGATTTCCTATAGAAAACTTAATATAGCCGGGCTGAATTGATGATTTCTTATATATTTGTTGACCTGTGTTATGTTTTCCTTTCACTCTCGTACAGCAGATTTGAATGCAACTGCCGTTCACACGAAATGCGTTCATAAAAAATGTTACAGATAATAATTTTTGTTCACATTTCGCTGTCTGCCTCAATAAAGCGTAGGAGCTAAAAATAGATCATAACAGCAAAAACAACAAAAATAAAATACGAAATTTTTATAACAACAACAAAAATGCACAACTGTGACAATAATCGCGCGCTATTAGCAATGAAAAAATGCGCTTTAAAAAGAAGAAGAATCAGAGAAAAAAATCGCACACACAAATTTGTCACTGCGAGGGACAGATCAACCGACCCGACCGACTGAACGACCATAGCAGTTGAAATCAAAATTTGTTCAGCATTTTTTTTAGTCAAGAGGGGGAAGGAGCGCAACAAGTCAATTCTCAATTAATTGCGAACGAACGAAAAAACTGCGCACAAAGAGGTGATGCGAACAAAGGCTAAGAATATTCGCAATCAGAATCAAGGGGAGCTGGTGCGGGCGAACAGCTCTGCACATTTTAATACCCACAAGAGGGAAATGTGTCGGAAATAACAAGTGGTTGGGTCTGTGTATAAATCGAGAGGTATGACGGCATCGAAGTGTTTCGTGATAATCGATAATAAATCCATCAATAATTAAAACAAAATTTTTGGCAAATGATATTTATTGCGGGACGAATGGAGATACCAACAAAATAAACGATTGTTTTCGTTGCAAAAAAAAAACAACATTATTTGTTTTGATTATGAAAATGATACAGCTGAATTAAGGTTTCCATAGGAAATCATCAATTCTGCGCGGCTGAATTAAGGTTTCTATAGGAAATCGTCAATTCAGCCTGGCTGAAATAAGGTTTCTATAGGAAATCTTCAATTCAGCCTGGCTGAATTAAGGTTTCTATAGGAAATCTTCAATTCAGCCTGGCTGAATTAAGGTTTCTATAGGAAATCTTCAATTCAGCCTGGCTGAATTAAGGTTTCTATTGGAATTCTTCAATTCAGCCTGCCTGAATTAAGGTTTCTATTGGAATTCTTCAATTCAGCCTGGCTGAGTTAAGATTTCTATAGGAATTCTTCAATTCAGCCTGGCTGAATTAAGGTTTCTATAGGAAATCTTCAATTCAGCCTGGCTGAATTAAAGTTTCTATAGCAATTCTTCAATTCAGCCTGGCTGAATTGTGGCTTCTGTAGGAAATCTTCAATTCAGCCTGGCTGAATTAAGGTTTCTATAGGAAATCTTCAAATCAGCCTGGCAGAATTAAGGTTTCTATAGGAATTCTTCAATTCAGCCTGGCTGAATTAAGGTTTCTATAGGAAATCTTCAATTCAGCCCGGCTGAATTAAGGCTTCTATAGGAAATCTTCAATTCAAACCAGCAAAATTAAGGTTTCCATAGGAAATCTTCAATTCAGCCCAGCTGAAGTAAAGTTTCCATAAGAAATCTTCAATTCAGGCCAGCTGAATTAAGGTTTAAATAGGAAATCTTCAATTCAGCCCGGTTGTATTTAGGTTTCTATAGGAAATTTTCAATTCAACCCAGCTGAATTAAAGTTTCCATAGGAAATCTTCCATTCTACACAGCTGAATTAAGGTTTCCATAGGAAATCTTCAGTTCAGCCTAGATGAATTAAGGTTTCCATGGGAAATTTTTAATTCCAACTGAATCAAGGTTTCCTGAATCAAGGTTTCCAACTGAATCAAGGTTTCCTATGGAAGCCTTAATTCAGCCCAGCTGAATTAAGGTTTCTACAGGAAAACTTGAGCCCGGCTGAATTCCGGTTTCCATACGAAATCTTTAATTCAGCCCGGCTGAATTAAGGTTGCCATAGGAAATCTTCAATTCAGACTGACAGAATTAAGGTTTCTGTAGGAAATCTTCAATTCAGCCCGGCTGAATTAAGGTTTCCTTTACGAAATTTTAAATTCAAATCTCTATGCTTTAAAAACTAATATACCCCCCGCTATTATGCAGGGAGTATTTCAATATATACATCATGTTGCATCTAGACAGTCCGACAGACTGACTGACAAACTTGTATTAAAATAAACTTTTCATTTCATTCAAACAAAAAAGAACACGCATATTTTATTACAGACAACCAACCACATGCAAGCACAGCCAAACAATGATGCAGTTGATTGTCCCATTTTTTTGTTTTGTTTTGTTGGTGTTTGTGTTGTTGTTTTTTTCTCGTTTGGTTATTTAATGTGCGATTTAAAAATAAACAGACATGGACTTCAATTACCAACGCACAAGTTATTATTTGTATGATAAATGCATGTGCCAACAACAAACAAAAAAATAAGCAGCCAGCCAGGCAGGCAAAAACAACAACAACTATATGAAAGCAAACACACCCACCCACTTTAATTTTATTGTTATTCCACTCTGCTCCCCTTTCATTATTAATAACCATATAAGGAACACATCTCAATTATAAGAATAAAATATGAGAGATGATAAAATTTTTGTTATTATTTTCTAACGGAACACACCCCACCACAGAGACACCCACTACAGCTCACATACCAAGAGGGAGAGAGTGTATAATAACCATAAATATTAATAGAAAACAATAACTTATCGACGACCTCTCAATGAACTTGACCTCCACTAAGTAAATTTGTTTGTTGGTGGGTTCTCTGCCTGCCAGTCTCTGCCTCTCCTCATCAAGTCAGCAGCAGGCACCCACCCATCATCAACAAACTAACTAATCATGCATGTATTGGCCAAGGCATTTGTTGTTGTTTTTTTGTTCTGTTCTTATTCTTAAAATAATGGTAGTAGTGTAACAGCAGTTGTTGTTATTGTTATTGTTTTTTTTTATAAAGGGGAGCACAGCTTATCATGAATTTGCTGTGTTTTGTTTTTTTGCAATGTGGGGTTATGCCATTTGATTAAATGATTTGTTATTGTTCTGTTCATTCATTGCTCTCACCATCTCCCTCTCTGGCCGTACCGCTACTCTCCCTCCCAATTGGAATTGTTTATTGAGTAAGGATCTTGTTTAAATTGGCAATAAATGAGTAGTGCATAGCTGTAGTTGACATTGTTGTTGTTATTGTTATGCTGCTTCTTCTTTCTTTTTCAAGTGGCTATGTCACAGATGATGTTGCCCCTTTCATTAATTTAAAAGAACGAAGGAAAAATAACAATATTTTTTATTACAGCAATTGTGTTGTGGTATGAGTTGTTGTTGTAATGATACTTAAATAACAATAAAAAAACAACAACAACTACAAATGGCAATATATGGCAATGTTTCTTAAGGTTTACGAGTTCAATTAATAAACATTTCATATGAATTGAAGGAGATGGAATTGTTGCAAAAAATAAAATAATTTTAAAGGAGCAACAAGAAAAGACAACAATTTAATAAGGGTTTGTAATTCAGCTTAGCTGAATTAAGGTTTTCATAGGAAATATGTAATTCAGCTTTGCTGAATTAAGGTTTCTATAGGAAATCTTCAATTCTGCCAGGTTGAATTAAGGTTTCTATAGGAAATCTGCAATTCCGCCCACTTGAATTAAGGTTTCTATAGCAAATTTTCAATTCAGCCCAGATGAATTAAGGCTTCTATAGGAAATTTTCAATTCAGCCCAGCTGAATTAAGGTTTCTATAGGAAATTTTCAATTCAGCCCAGCTGAATTAAGATTTCTCTAGGAAATTTTCAATTCAGCCCAGCTGAATTAAGGTTTCCATAGTTAAACCTCATTTCAGCCTGGCTGAATTAAGGTTTCCAAACGTAAGCTTCAAGTCACCCTGACTGAATTAAGTTTCCCATATGTATATTTCAATTGAGCCTGGCTGAATTAAGATTTCCATAGAAAAACTTCAATTCAGCCTGGCTGAATTAAGATTTCTATAGGAAATCTTCGGTTCAGCCAGGCTGAATTAAGGTTTCTATGGGAAATCTTCAATTCAGCCAGGCTGAATTAAGGTTTCTATAAGGAATCTTCAATTCAGCCAGGCTGAATTAAGGTTTCTATAAGGAGTCTTCAATTCAGCCAGGCTGAATTAAGGTTTCTATAGGAAATCTTCAGTTCAGCCAGCTGAATTAAGGTTTCTATAGGAAATCTTCAGTTCAGCCGGGCTGAATTAAGGTTTCCATAGTTAAACCTCATTTCAGCCTGGCTGAATTAAGATTTCCATAGAAAAACTTCAATTCAGCCTGGCTAAATTAAGGTTTCTATAGGAAATCTGCAATTCAGCCCGGCTGAATTAAGGTTTCTATAGGAAAGCTGCATTTCAGCCTGGCTGAATTAAGGTTTCTATAGGAAATCTTCAATTCAGCCTGGGTGAATTAAGGTTTCTAAAGGAAATTTTTAATTCAGCCCAGGTGAATTAAAGTTTCTCTAGAAAATCTCCAATTCAGCAATGCTTAATTAAGGTTTCCATAGGTAAGCTTAAATTTAGCCCTGCTGAATAAAGGTTTCCATTAGAATGATTTAATTTAGCCCAGCTGAATTCAAGTTTCCATAGAGTAAGCTTCAATTTAGCCTTGCTGAATTCAGGTTTCCATAGGTAAGCTTTAATACAGACAAGCTGAAATAAGTTTTCCATGGAAAAAATTACAATTCAGCCATGCTGAATAAAGTTTAATTGTCGGAATGGGGAAATTTTCTATATGGGACCTATTTTTCTTTGCTGTTTATGACATGTGATAGAATATCAGCCAAAAATAGCTTTACTCTAAGAAGCCTTTGGATAACAAACCATAAGAAGCTGCTCCAATCCATTTTTTTTTTGTGATTCTTGCAATCAAATAAAATTTCTGGCATTTGCTGCATAACAAAACTTTTTTTTTTGATAGAAAAACTTGGTCATTTGATACCTCATATATGGTGTTCATTATTCTCACCCTCTCCACAAGACTTTCGGCACGACGTGCAAAGGAGGCACGTTTAGCTTCGGCAGAAGACATGATGAAAACGTCGATGATAATCGAGTTGGGGATTTAAATCTATGACGCCGGTTGTTTAGACAACAATTGAAGGAAAACTCAAAAAAATGAACTGAAAAGAAAAAAAGGTATTGTAAAAAAATAAAATTAGTTAAGAGAATGGAAAAATTAAATTTTGGGAAAATTATTAATTCATAAAACGAAATAATGGGGTATATAAGATTTCTATTGGAGGAAGGCTCTTTCAAGGTTTTCTGTTTATAAAAAAACCACACATCTTCTATATGTGGTAGATCTCCATGTGTGAATCTCACCTTAGTTCCGTTTGACATAAATCGATCTTTAGATATCTTCTTCATTAAATAGGGCACTATAAGAGTTTATTTAACATTAGCCAGACACTGGTATTTCAATTAGAATAACAACTCTGTTTAATACCAAGAACATAACGGTTCTCTCTCTTTCTCCGTCGCACTCTCTCACAAAAAAAGTAAATTTGCTCCCACAAAGCCATCATTGTGTGACAAAAATGTCAATGTTATAAAAGGCTTGGAATGTCACATCATGCAGAGATAATCTTCCACTCTCTCTCTCCCTCTCTCATACTCAAACGTAATTTCCCTTTAACCCTTTCAGTGTTTTTGTCGAATATATTCGACATTTAAAAATTCTCTCTTTCTTTGCGATTTTTCGGTTATCATATGTACCGTTAACATTGATGTTTTTGTTTTTGCTGAAAAACAGACGAAACTGTCCGAGGGTTAAAATAAAAATTCCTTTTTGTTCTAAACTCTATGCCTTCATATGATTTTAAGTACAAAATTTTAGATTTTTATTCCGACAAAAAATTTTTTTGACACTGAAAGGGTTAACAAACCAATCAGTGATTGCAAAAAAGCTTTTCGTTAATTTTATTAAAGAAATTGAACAAAAAATTAAATATTTGTTTAATTGTTGATTGTAAATATATATTTTCATTATTTAAATTTTATTAAACAAAGTGGCAAAAAAGTATTTCAAGGCAAACAGGCCACACAGAGCAGAGTAGTAAATGAATAAGTAATGAAAAGTGGTGCATGCCACAAAATAAATAATTGTTCATAATTTACAAAACAACAACAGCAGCAAGCATATGTTTATATATTGAATAAATTCACTTTACCAAACAGAAATTGAAAACTTTTTTGTTGATGTTACTGAAATGCAAATTAATTTCAGAGGCCCACACACACACACACACTGAAAGTTGTTACCCAGTAGCCGAGAGGGTGCATTTGTTTAGAACATAAATTATTTAAATTTAATGCAAAATATCAAATATTCAGTGGTGGATGATGGGTCATTAGTGTTTTTGTTGGCTAGTAAATAAACAGAAGAAAACCATAAAAATGTATAACAAATATATTTACAGATGACTTTTCAAAAATAAATTAAATTCGAATTTATATTTTTAGGTTTTCTAAAGAAAATCAATAATTCAGACAAGTTGAATTGTAATTTTCTCAAGGAAACTTTTATTCAGCCTAGCTGTATTATAAACTTTTCAAAGGAAACATAAATTCAGCAGGGCTGAAATGGATTTTTCATAAGGAAAACAGATTTCAGCCAAGCTGAATTGATGTTTACCTATGGAAATCATAATTCAGCCAGGCTGAATTGAAGCTTTTCTATGGAAAACATAATTCAGACCGGCTAAATTGAAGTTTTCCTATGACAAATTTATATTCAGCCAGGCTGAATTGAAGTTTACATATGGAAACAATAATTCAGCCAGGCTGAACATGAGTTTACTTAGGGAACACGTAATTCATTTGGGCTGAATTGCAGATTTTCTGTGGAAACCATAATTCAGTCAGGCTAAATTGCAGATTTCCTATGGGAAACATAATTCAGCCATGCTGAATTGATGTTTTCCTATAGAAAACATAATTCAGCCATGCTGAATTGAAGTTTTACTATAGAAAACATAATTCAGCCAGGCTGAATTGAAGTTTTCCTATAGAAAAGTTTACCTATGGAAAACATAATTCCGCCAGGCTGAATTGAAGTTCACTTAAGGAAAACATAGTTCAGCTGGGTTCAGCTTAGTTGAATTGAAGATTTTCTATGGAAACATTAATTCTGTCAGCCTGAATTGAAGTTTTGCTATGGAAAACATAACTCAGGAAGGCTAAATTGAAGTTTACCTATTGAAAAAATAATTCAGCTGGGCTGAATTGCAGATTTTTATATGGAGACCGTAATTCAACCAAGCTGAATTGAAGTTCATTTATGGAAAACATAATTCAGCTGGGCTGAATTGAAGTTTTCCTATAGAAAACATAATTTCGCAAGGCTGGATTGAAGTTTACCCATCGAAATCATAATTCAGCCATGCCAAATTGCCATGCCAGATTTTCCATGGAAAACTAAACGAGCTGGGCTGAATTGCAGGTTTTCATATGGAAACTCACATGTGGAAACCATAATTCAGCCAGGCTAAATTGAAGTTTACCTAGGGGAAACATAATTCAGCCGGGCTGAATTGGAGATTTTCTATAGAAACCTTAATTCAGGCAAGCTGAATTGAAGTTTTCCAATGGAAATCATACTCAGCCTGGCTGAATTGAAGTTTACCTATGGGAAACATAATTCAACCAGGCTCAATTGAAGTTTTTTCTTTGGAAAACATAATTCAGCCAGGCTAACTAGAAGTTTACCTATGGAAATCATAATTCAGCCAGTCTGGACTGAAGTTTACCTATTGAAAATTTAATTCAGCCAGCCTGAATTCCAAATTTTCTATGGAAACATTAAACAGCTGGGCTGGATTGCTGATTGAATTGCAAATTCCCCATATTGTCATAGAAAACCCCAACATGAAGTTGGACATGTTGACATCACATATGAATTATATAGGGAGCTATAGATCGATATTGTTTAGTAAAGCTAAATTGGAACGATTTATAATAGATTAGTAAAATACTTTCTAATTATGACACTTCTCTCTATAATAGACCTCTTGGAGTTAGTTTCAACTCTAGAAAGCATTTAGGAGTTGCGAACAAAATCAAATTCCAATTCCAGCGATTTCTAATATACATTCTGTCGCCAAGCAATCGAAAGTGTCAATGCAAGTGGCCGAATGCCCTAGACGAATTTTATATAAAAGCTCACATACTATCATCTTTTAGATACGAGGGCAGGGGTACTTTGGAGTTGTTCGGGACACTTGTGATATTCCCAAAAAATATGATAATAAATGACAATTGATATAAACATGATTGTTTTTTCTGATAAAGTCTAAAAGTTCAGGAGATATGCGCACCAAATAAACAAAGACAATATATATATTGCAAATAGTTTATTTATATGTCAGATAATGCAATTTGTATTTATTTCCATGCAAGTACTTCTGATCTTAATAAACAATTTTTTGACCACATTATCTGATCTTTGTTTTGAAGATTTAATTTTCTTTGTGAAAATTGATAAAAAATTATGTATAAATAAATTTAATAAAAAAAATTGCATGACTAATGAATGCATTTTTAAAAACAGATAAGTTTTGTTTTGAAAATTAATTTGATTTGATAACTGATACTGTCAGCATTTCAAGGGCAAATAAATAAATAAAATTTAATATATGAGTAGTTAAAACAAATAATAAATCATGAGGGACAAGAACAAAGTGTTTCATATCATCTAAAAGAAAGAAGTATTTTATTCTTAAATTAACGTTTCAAACATCAGAGTTGTATTTTAATTGTGACACCATTGTCTTTTTTATTTAACAGTTCATAAATTTTGTAGTTATTGTAGTTCCCATTTATTATCTGTACCCTAATCCACTTCTATTTAAAATCAACATTAATTTTCTTAAAAAAAATAATATCTCCACCATTAGTTTCTTTCTCTACAAGGAACTCCAAACGTCACACAAAAGCAAAAATCAAAGCCGCAAATTTTTTCTTAAAAAAATAAATAAAATAAAAATGCCCAACATTAGTTCCTTTCTCAACAAGGAACTCTCACACTCACAACAACAACAAAAATGTCTCACAACATGGACAAATTGTTGCGCTATTTATTATAACAAATCATAAGGAAAATTGAAGAAAAAGACAAATGAAAAAAAAATAGAAAATAAATGTTCAGAATTGTTGTAAAGAAAAACCAAAAATAGACATAAATATGTAAATATGTATGTATGTGTTTATATGTATGTTAATACATATAAATGTAAAAAAATGTTTGACCAATTCATTTTCTTTTTTACCACATTGTACCCACATTGGATTGTTGGGGTTTCTCTGTGTCATTCCTCTGTTTGGTGAGGGTAGAGAAAATTATGACTACTACCGGCTGGTCCCCATATGGATATGTTTAGCCACACAATTAGTTTGTCTGACACCCCAAAAATATGCGTAAATAGGCATGTTTGTATAAATAGATTTGAAAAACATGTTCAGATTTAAAATATAGGAGAGAGGTTAGTGTACTGTGCTTATAAAATTTACCAATGGGAAACTGAATTCAGCCAAGCTGAAATGAAGTTTTCCTAGAAAACCCATAATTCAGCTAGGCTGAATTGAAGTTTACCTATGGAAACCATAATTCAGCCAGGCTGAATAGAAGTTTACCTATGGAAATCATAATTCAGCCAGGCTGAATAGAAGTTTACCTATGGAAATCATAATTCAGCCAGGCTGAATTGAAGTTTACCTATGGAAACCGTAATTCAGCTGGGCTGAATTGAAGTTTACCTATGGAAACCATAATTCAGCTGGGCTGAATTGAAGTTTACCTATGAAAACTTAATACAGCCGGGCTGAATTGGAGTTTATCTATAGGAATCTGAATTCAGCCTGTTTGAATTGAAGATTACCTATAGAAAACTTAATTCAGCCATGCTGAATTGAAGTTTACTTATGGAAAAGTCATTCGGCAAGACTGAATTGAATTTTACCAAAGGAAAACTTAATTCAGCCGGGCTGAATTGAAGTTTTCCTGTGGAAATTTGATTTTTGCCAGGCTGAATTGAAGTTTACCTAGGGAAACCACAATTCAGCCAGGCTGAATTGAAGTTTTGGTATGG